TGGAATTATCTGCGAAATTATTTGCTATAGATTTCCATTCCAAACAATTTTGCAAATAATTTTTTTCGTCATTGTTCGCAATCTTGATGATAATATCAAATTATACGAATCTCTCGGATGACTATCGATGCTGTACGAAAAACTCGAATTTATATATATAATATATAAAAAATATATAATAATATTATTATATAAATAAATTTATATATATAATAAGGGATGGCCAGATCTTATCTTGATGCAATTGCGATTATGCATGCACAATATTATATATTTCTGTGATTAATTAAATTTCTTTTTTTCGAGTTATTCTTGCAATATTCTCTTACATGATTCTTTTACGAAGTTTTGTTAATTGAATTGTCATCTTTTAAATCGTACGACTTCGAATAACGAAGATTGGACATCGAGATCGAATGGAATAGAAAATTTAAAAAAACGTAATGTAGGCTCGTAGCAAATAATCGTAATTTTTGAGATTTAAATTCTAATTTATTTTAATATGTTATTAAATATATATATTGATAAAAAAACAAAGCAAAGAGAACCATATCCAGAAATTGTTAAATTACATGTTGCAATTATTTCGTAATTCTCCTCACGATTGTCAACTTTGACACCGATTGAGATTAATAATAGTGCACGATCAGTTTTGACCGTTGTTGATCTAGTTTCGTTATGTACCACGTACGACCAATGTATAATTAGCGAACAAAGGATGTGGAACAGGCGTGTACGAAAAACCGCGTGTCCCAGAGCCGGTGAAAAGAAAGTGACCGACACCCGTATGATATCTCCGCTACCGTAAAAACAAGACCGTCGACAGGTTTTCGAAGCGAGTTACCGCTCGACCGACCAGTTGGACGAACAATGAAGAACGACGTGGCGGAAGACGCCGAATCTTTTTTCGAAACACCTTTTTGACGAAGGGAGATCGTGATTGGAATTTCATGCAAAAAATTGGGATTTTTAATTGCCATTTCTTTGTCTTTTTACAGTTTAAGTAGGTAAAAAGATAAAAAGTAATGCACGTCACAATGATTTTTGAATTCTTACAACATTCTCTATTTAGGTATTGATGTTATCATCTTAATAAATAGATTTGAACATTGACTAATTTCTCTATTTTAACGAGGTTTTCTATATTTTAATATCTAATATATTTAACTAATTTTTGAACTCTCCAAAATTAAGTATTAGCTACGGGAATAAATTTAAATTTGATAAATATCTAATTCCATTCTATCATTCGTATCTCAATTGTTACGACAGAGTTATAGAAAATTCACGAAACACGAAGGATCGTAAAAAAAATCGGTCGGCGGAGAACGCCTTCAAAGAATACGACAAAACGTCGTGGTAATCGACGAGCAAAAAGTCAATATGTGTGAGAATACAAACTGTTTGAAGAGTCCTCGATGGATTGTCCAGGATCTTTGCGAGCGTTAATAAAAGTCGTAAACACTTGGTCGCGAAATACACATTAAAAACATGTCGACGAGAGAGCCGCGAAAAGATATTGAAAACGACGAGGCGAGTACTTAATGGAGAGTTTAAAGAGCGAGCTTAAATTGCAGGTTGCGAGAAAACGGTCCTGTCGAGTGATTTATTGCCGCCGCCTTTGCATGGTTTTTGGGCTTTTATCGCCTTTTATTGGGCAGCCTTGTGAGTATTCAAGCGCCATCTACGCGAAGGCCGAGGCCATTCGAAGTTACAAAAAAGAAAGTGTTGTTTGCTATGTTAATTTTTAATTTTAACGTTACTCCCATGTTATTTTTTTCCTTGTCTCTTTTTCAATCAATAATATTTGTATACACAAATATTGTTTTCAGTTCTGAAACGAAATAATAAAATATAAACAGAGAAATCGGGTGTTTTATGTGATAAATTCATGGCAAAATAAAGATTGATGAAGAAATAAATTTAATTGGATGAAATTCAATACATAGAACAGAAAAAAAGATGATTAATGTATTGAATATTTCACGTAAATAAATCGCTATAAAAAATCTTGAAATGATTTAACGAAGAATAATACCTCAGCACATTTTAATTTATGATCTTTTATTACTGCAAAAATTCTGTTTATAATAGACAAGATACTGAAAAAGAGCATTAGAAGAAAAATGACATTAACCTCATTTTTTATAATTTTATTATCATTTCCCGGATAAATTAATATTAATTTTAATAATAAAGTGTATAAAGATAATGAAATATTAACTCCTAACTTCTTATAGAATCTTATTCTTTATATTTCTTGTCTATTACAAATAATTTTAATGATATTACGTTTTTATAATATTACAATTATCTTTGCAATAAGACACGAACAATGATAACATTGTATATCTATCAAAAATTTTAAAATTTAATAAACCAAGCTAAATTTAATTTAATTGTAATCGTAATTACAATATAAAATTTCTTCGATAATATTTTATAATATTTTTCAAATACAATCGAATGGAAAAAAAAAAACATTTGCAAAAAATTCGCACATAAATAATCGACGATCAATAAACAAGTTAAAAAGGAAGTGCTTTCTTTTTCTACCAACGCGTTGCACCCGTGTAAATGCTCCTTTAGCATAATTAAGCACCGACAGACGCGAAAGACATCGAAACTGGGTCTTGTCAAGGAAGTGGTTTATGTGTTGCACGTGCACCGGTGTAGCACCGTGTGCCGTACGTCCATTAATATACGTGCCTTATGAATACGATATCCCGACACACTAGAATTTCGAGGCTCGCCAAGGAAACCCGCGTAAGAGCGAAACTTCATGGGAAACTAACCCTTCATCTCGAACCAACGGATATTATAATATAATATATAATATATTATATACACATACTATTTTTAAGATGCTATGTGATAATTAATTAGATTTTTTATCTCTTTGAATATTAAGCATTTTGAATATAAACAGATTTTATAAATAAAGTATATATAATATAATAAAATATATATATTATATATCTATTAGTTTGAGAACAGGTATATTACATGTACATGATGTGAATGTTGATATATGATGATTAAGTGAATGTTTTATATATAAAACATGAAATTGTTATGTAGAATCATATAATATAAAGCATTTTTTCTTTTTATTTTAATTACAAATAATAATTTTCAGAAATTCTATCAGATTATTTAAATATTATAGCCCAAAAGTTTTATATTTACTTTTAATATGTATATACGTAAAGATATATATTATATATAAAATAAAAAATAATGTAATTTTATTTTTATCTTTAATAAGATTATTAGAAAATTATTTCATTTTATATTTATGTCATGAAACTATTAATATAATAATACCTCAAACAATTATATAGATTACGTTATATCTTTTAATTTGAAAATATATCATAATGAACACATAAAAATCCATATAAATTTATTAAATAATTAATTCACAATGTAACGTTATGTAAAATTAAATTGAAACAGACTAAGAAATTAGAAATTATTTATTTACTTATTAAAAGTAAATCTAAACTTTTGAGTAATAATATATACAATGATGATTCATTAGATGCAAATATATGTACAGTATATATTATAAGTATAAATCTTACTTACAATTAAGAGGTTAGTTATTTAACAGTGGAGCAGGATTTCAAATAAGAACATTGCACGATCTATCTGAAACAACGAATAAATGAAAATAAAACAAAGAAAGGAAAAAAAAAAAATGAGGTTAGCAACACGGTCAACGTTCGTTGGAAATCGATTTCGAATGAAGAAACGAGAAACCCATCGGGATTTACCGTTAGCGTCAAAGCGTAGGAGCACGTGTTCGCGGTGATCTTTGCAACGGGTTTGTGCACTTGCCGCGAAAAAGGAGGAAGGAAAGTGAAAGTATCGAGGGAAACCTTAACAATGTTTCCACGTTTACCGAGACTGTCAAGGTTGCCCGATCAACACCGAGACTCCGTTAGAATTTTATCTGTCAATCGTTCAGAGCGGATGCTTTTTCAAATCGTACCTATTTATCAGAATTGCAGATCGCGCGAAATTATTCATAAACGTAAATGGATACTTACAGAAATCGTGAGTCTATTGTGTTGTTCGCTATGAAAAGATCGATAACCTAGAAACTACTGCTTCGAAAAACGCAAGGAATGGTGTCACGTGTCTTTACGCGGGAATCGCGGGAATGATTCTGCGCAAGGACATAGAAGATAAAGTCTGCGCGCGCAATACTATTGCTGCATATAGCACGCGCTTCTATACGCGGGAATTTGTAATTCAAAAAAGAATATCGCGATGAGTATATAAAATCGACAAGAATGTGTTTAAATGAAACTTTTATTAAAGCGATTTATCAGCGGTAATAAATGGATAATGTTCTTGCGACAATTCTACACGCCACTATTCCAATAATAATGGTGTAATTGCTGATAAGATAATGCGATTAAATATCTTTTTATGTGCTCACGGCTTTAATTGTGCGATTAATCTGATGATTTTGTAATAGTTTCTTGAAACTTTTAAATATGCAATAAATGATATTTTTTTTTTCTATTTAGTAAAAATTATAAATTGAGAAATTAATTTTTTTTTATTAATAAAATTTATTGCATTTAAAGAATAATGAAAAATATTATTCTTATTATTAAACAAAATTAAGATATTATTAAAAATATTATTCTATATTTAATAGGATTTATTAAATTCATGATAAAAAAGTAATAAAAAAAAACGAATTGATTAAATATCGACAAAATTAAAAAGGATATTGTATTGTATATATATTACTAATCTCATTATCGTTATTTCAATTCTCTTTTTTTTTTTATAAAATTCTCTTTACTATTATTTTTTACTATCTTTATAAAAATTCCTGATCTATTCGATTATACATTATATATAGACAGTGCCAGTCAAAGCTATACCTCAAAATAAAGAAAAATAAGCGCTTCGATTCAAGCATGATTCGTCTATTCGGAAATATCGATTGATCAAAGATGATCCCTGTATGGGATTTCTTGACAGCAAGAAAACCCGCATCTTCGTGGCCTTATATTGGTTGTCTGAAAAAAATATGGTTAGGTAGAGAGATCGATCAAGAATGATTCCTTAGTAAGCGCAATACCGTTCGTGCAGAAGTGGTCAGAAAAGTCGTTCCATCGAGGAAGTACGGCGAATCTCTCACGGATCTCGAGTTTGCTCATCTTTCGCCGGGATCGAAGCCTGCATCAAGAATTGCCAGACTTCGAGACGAGCGTCCGTGTGTCCGTTCGCTTGTATCGGCGCGTGACGCAACCAGATTCTGCCCAAGGATCGAGTTTTGCGGATGCTACTGCCTAACGGTCGCCTGTGCACACGTTTACCGGGACCTCGGTTGCTTTCTGTGACGTCAATGCCAGTGAATGGAACCGCGACCCGAAGAACGATTTGCTTGGAAACACGGCCGATGGAGGCGCGACTTGTCGGTGGCTTTTGATTTATTGTGCATCGATTAGAAATGTTCGACGGATATTTCAGTGTTGAGTAATTCATGTATCATTAACGAGAGATAATTTATTTTATTGTTCTTGAAGAAAATTATCGTGTTTTTTTTTTTTTTTACCAGACGAAGTATAGAA